GCTGTGCCACTGGGAGGCTCACAAGTTCACACTGAGTATGATAAGTAAAGTAAGGCGCTGGCCCATGTTATCATGCTACAAGGAATTGACCAATGAAAATCAACTCAGATGTAAATGTTGGTGACCCACAAGTTCACACTAAGGATGATAAGTAAAGAAAGGCGTTGGCCCATGTTATCATTCTATAAGGAATTAACCAATGAAAGTCAATTCAGATGTAACAAGTTCACACTGAGGATGATAAGTAAAGTAAGGCGCTGGCCCATATTATCACGCTACAAGGAATTGACCAATGACAGTCAACTCAGATGCAACAAGTTCACACTGAGGATGATAAGTAAAGTAAGGCGTTGGCCCATGTTATCATTCTATAAGGAATTAACCAATGAAAGTCAATTCAGATGCTAATTTACATGACCAAATTATAGTAGAAATATGTATAATGAAGTTCTAAAATTTAGGTTCACACAGAAATATTTCCCCCAACAAAAAAGACCCTCCCAAAAAAAAGCTCACTTATGACCAATCTGAAAGACTTTAGTACAGCTCCTGTTATCAGACCTATAAGGTTTGTTTGCAAGTAAGCACAAAGATACACGATGGACTATCGGTGATGGACCAACTGAAAGTATCGAAGACCGACTGTTAACGTTATAAACTCTCAGATTTACCTCTGAGTCAATGGAAAGAGGGACACACGCAGAGGAGTTAAATCAAAAATACTTGTTATCTAAAGGTATTTTTTTTTTCAAAACGCTCATAATGCTGAGAGTTTCCACTCTTTCTTTAAATGCAGCTTTATCAATGTACCTTGTGTACAGTAAGACAACATGATAATAATGAATAACACAATAAGTGTAGTAAGTAGTTTCTAATGAGCAACGAGAGTAATTCAGATCAGAACTTGCGAAAAACTACGTTTAATTTAAGCTTGTTTATTTCGTAGCACTAAGCCACGAGTACCGAAACCCAATTTCTAGCGTTATAAGCCTCAGACTCTGCTGCTGAGCCACTAGGGAGGTTTAATTTAAGGAACAAAAACTTGCTCAGTTATTATATAATGCTAAGAGTATTATTCCTGGGGAGGTTTAATATAGCTCAAAGTTTATTTTTTTTTGTACTACAAAGTGCATTTATTCAAGCATAATATTATAAGCCTGTTATTGAAAACTAGTTTGTTTTATTTATTTACCTGAGAAATTTACTTTCTTTGAAAAAAAAATCTAAAACCCTATCACATTTTACACACCGCTCACATCCTTCTTTCAATTACGATAATTTTCTTTAAAAAAACTTACTTGTTTTAAAATGTATTGATATCGACTAGAAAAGTTATTTAACTTCATAAAAGTAAGAATTTTAAGACAAATAAATACAACAAAAGTTACATAACATTATTTCTTAATTTTCAACAATTATACGTTCAATCATTATGGTTGTCATTGAGAGAATAATGATGTATTGAAATCATAATAGAAAAGTATAAGGTGTAAGACTCAAAATTTACTCTTTATTATATCACCGAGAACTCTGGTATTATAGTTTTTGTTTGTAATTAAGCAAAAAGCTACACAATGAGCTATCTATGCTCTGCCCATCACGGGTATCGAAACCCGGATTCTAGCGTTGTAAGTTCGCAGACATACCGATGTGCCACTAGGGGGCTGGATGTACAAAAGGTTGTTGTTTGTTATTAAGCAAAAAAGCTACACAATGAGCTATCTGTGCTCTGCCCAGCACGGGTATCGAAACCCGGATTCTAGCTGTAAGTCCGCAGACATACCGATGTGCCACTAGGGGGCAGGTATTATAGTACAGTACCTAGTTAATTTTCTTTCTTTTTTTCTAGAATATATTGAGAATGTTCTAAACAAACTTTTGGTTGGCTGTTTATAGGCAAGAGGAAAAAATATGAATTTAATATTTCGTGGATAACAAATATTCTTGGATAGGCTTGCTTCGCAGCTAGGAAGAGTGTAGAAAGACTTCAGGATTAAAAAAGTACTTTTGGTAGAGCAGCCATATTGGCTCTGCTTAGCTTGAGATTAACTGAACCTCTAGCATGTGATAAGATGACAATATAAATATATATAATTTTCGTTTACTGGTTTTAAACAGTAATAGGTCAGTTCAAATTTGGTGTAGCTAAATTAAAAACAAATAAACATTGGAACTTACATCCTCCCCCTCACCCCGTTTCAGTCACGTACGAGTTCAGTGACTTTTTCAGATACAAGTAATTTCCTCAGTATAACAGTGGGATATAATATGTTAAATGGAGATACAACTAATTAAAATAACACAGGAAAGATATGCGATCTGTTAGATACAATCTACGTTTTGTAAATTTATCAGATCTACTCCTCTTATGATGTCGTTCACACGAAGTATAGGATACTATTGTTTACCATGTAGAGTGTAAATACGGTAATTGTTTGTACCATCTGAACGGATCAGAGGTTAACACTGTGTGAAGTTTAATGGGAATTACAATACACTAAAACTTATAATTCAAAATATTTTATTGTTACTTTGCCGCCTTTTATTTGATTAGGTTCGAAATAATGTATCGCATTTATGATTACGTAACTGATATAATACTATAATTTTTTAAGTGATCATTGTTTCATGAAGGAGAAAATTAAAGGAGCGCCGAAAAAGATAATTTTAATTAATTGAAGCTCCTGAGAACACAGTGTGTAAATCAGAGCGATCGTCAGAATGGTATTTTGTAAAACTTTGAAATTACAGTGATAGACGAGAGCACAAATTGAAAACATGTCCAGTTTTCCAAATTCATTCAGTTTTTTGTTTCATGAAATTCTAGTGCCTGTTCTATTTTGCATATAACGAGAATATAAAAAACGGTTGAGGAAAAGAAAAATGGTTTGATATTATTGGTTTCTTTCTAATTAAGAAAAGTGGTGTTTTCTCACCAATACACGTTTACCCACGAATTATGCGTTTGGATTGAGATGTGAACCGAAGCTTCCAGTTGTATTGGTACTTTAAAGACGAGTATTATTAGTCGCTTGCAGAAATGTTAGTCGCATCGAATATTTTAGCAAACCGAGAATTAGTTAATAATAATAAAAAAGGATTGCCGTAAGTTCTTTTTTTTTTACTGATAACATTCACTACTTACCAGTAAATATATCGAGGAAAAGCAAAGTGTGTCGATACAAGTAAACTTGCGTTATTCACGCTAGAGTTCACGGTGTTACAGAATTGGGCTTGATTTCTTTCGGTGATTCCGGACGTTACCTTCGCTGTCGGACTAGATAGGTTGACTGTTTGAGAGAGACGGTAACGGTCTCTTTAAGTCCTGCTCAACGTGGGCGGCCACATAATGCGCAGGCGTATGTGAGGAACAGAGAACGTGTCTTTATTTTTCCTCTTTGTTGAATTTTAGGAATATTGGAAGGAAATGGAATCGAAGATGTGCCAAAAAATGTGTAAAACTTACATTTATTACTGTCTAGACATACCCCTTGCTGGTTAGGTTCACTATAAATTCTTCTTTCCCAGGACATCAAAAGAAATCCCCAGGACACTTCTACAGCCATTTTTCTGTAATGGTTACTTTATTGGAAACCAGCAAGAGTAAATCAAAACATTAAGTGCAAAAGTTTTTCTTCAGAAAATGTATGCTAATGGTGAACATAAAACCGTTTATTATAATTTGTATATAATATAATTTTGTATAGTTTTATAATAATCTCTGTCGAAGACATCCATCGTATCTTTGGACGTAATACTATCCAAGATAATACGGATTTATCTTTATATAAACATAAGTGAAAACGTAAAAAAAAGAGGGTTAGTTTTATTCCTTCCCGTTGGCAACATTTCCATGAGTAAATTCGTCTGATAATTACAAATTAAACGTTATTAATTCGTCCCCTAGAGATGATTTTAAGAATTATTTTTTGGAATAAATGAAAATTTTGTACTTTGTTCAATGCTTTTTCTAGGGCTAAATCCCAAGAACTTTGTTTGTTTGTTTAAATACAAAGCTGGTCAATGGTCTATCTGTGCTGTGCCCGTTGCAGGGATCGAATCGTGGATTTTAGCGTTATAAGCTTTCAAGATTACTGTTCAGCTTTGGGATGAGGGCTTTAAAACTGGTTGGTAGAAAAGAAGAGTTTGAACTTTGTCTGCTAATTTTGTATAGAATTAATCCTAAAAAATAATAAATGGAGAACAAGGAAAGCGTCAACTTTGCCTCATTCATTTATCTAAAGTTAAAAGAATTAACTGATAAAGAAAAATAAAAGTTTGAACTTTTTAATCGTAGGGGTCTAAGGTGCTAGTTGGGGCAAAAATAATTTTTATTTTTATCTAAAACCTTATGAACTAATTGAAAGAATAAAACAAGAGTTTAAACTTTGTTTAATTATATTTCCAGAAGTAATGTTTGAATTTTATGCTGATTAAAAAACAGTTTCAATTTGACCAAATATTTTCCTTATCGATAAGTTCTTTGTAAAACCGTGTTTAATAAATAAAGGAATTTTAAGCAAGATACAAAATAAATTTAAAGATATTAACAATTTTGTTTTAACAAAATAGCTTTGTTATTTATTGGATTTGTTCAGCTGAAAAAGTACTTTGTATAAATCACGACAGATGAGAATTTATGAAATAAGTTAGTTAACATCCATTACACTTTACAGAATTTGTTAACTTTACTTTCTATTACACTTTACAGCATTTGTTAAATTTACTTTCCATTACATTTTAGAGCATTTGTTAAATTTACTTTCCTTTACATTTTACAGCATTTGTTAAACTTACTTTCCATTACATTTTAGAGCATTTGTTGAATTTACTTTCCTGTACATTTTAGAGCATTTGTTGAATTTACTTTCCATTACATTTTAGAGCATTTGTTAAATTTACTTTCCTTTACATTTTACAGCATTTGTTAGACTTACTTTCCATTACATTTTAGAGCATTTGTTAAATTTACTTTCCTGTACATTTTAGAGCATTTGTTGAATTTACTTTCCATTAAACTTTAGAGCATTTGTTAAATTTGCTTTCCTTTACATTTTATTTCATTTGTTGATTTTACTTTCCATTACATTTTACAGCATTTGTTGAATTTACTCCATTACATTTTGCTGCATTTGTTAAAGTTACTTTCCTTTATATTTTACAGCATTTGTTTAATTTATTTTCCATTACATTTTACAAAATTTGTTTAATTTATTTTCCATTACATTTTAAAACATTTGTTTAATTTATTTTCCACATTTTACTTGATGAAATGGAGTTCAATTGTATAATAGTTTTGCCTGAAGGAAATTTTGATACGTTATTGATATATCGATACGTTAAGCCTCTTGAACATTATACAATTCTTTAACCCGAAGAAATCACTTTCAGCCTTCTTCATATATTCGTACGAATAAAAATTTTCCTTTATAGAATTAAAATCCAAATTTGAAATCACATCACCAGGAAGAAACTCGGTACGTTCTTGTGAATTATTAAGCGAAACCCTAAAGGTATCAGTATCCTTATGTAAATAAGGTGGAAGAAAATGCCCGAAGTGTGATAGTGGAGCAAATTATAAACATAATGATATTATGTTTTCAACATATTTGAGCTAAGTTACTTCATAAGCTAGAAAGAATAATTTTATACAAGAAGATGCAAATTTGTTTGAAACTAGCGTGTGGGGGAAATTTTGTTTCCATCAAACTAAACGCTTTTCGTTGTTTATGGAGCTGTTGATTTCACGAGGCAGAACCGATGCTTTCATGTTTTATATGGAACTGACACTTTTATGTGATGTATAGAACTGATAGTTTCATGTGATATTTAGAACTGTGACATATAGAACTGATTGTTGAATGTGATATATAGAACTGATTGTTGAATGTGATACATATAGAACTGCTTGTTGAATGTGATACATAGAACTGATTGTTGAATGTGATACATAGAACTGATTGTTGAATGTGATACATAGAACTGATAGTTGCATGTGATGTATAGAACTGATTGTTGAATGTGATACATATAGAACTGATAGTTGCATGTGATACATAGAACTGATTGTTGAATGTGATACACAGAACTGATAGCTGCATGTGATACACAGAACTGATTGTTGAATATGATACATAGAACTGATTGTTGAATGTAATGTATAGAACTGATTGTTGAATGTGATACTTAGAACTGACAGTTTCGTACGATTTATATAACTTATACCGTCTTCCATGGCTTATAGATATGATAGTTTCATTTGATGTATATCACTAATTGATTTTTAAAAATATGAATTCAGTTTAACAATACATTTACATTTCTTAACAAGCGCCTTTAGCCCAGAGCGTGTTTACTAAACCGTTAAATCCGGGATTTGTTGTTTTTCCTGCAAGTATGTCAAAATACAGCTTATTTTATGACAAATCGAACGATGGAGGATAATCGTGAACGTGAAAAGTACTTACAAAGAAACGATAACTTTTATGAGGCTAGTGAGAGCGAGATTTTGTTGAAAACTGGCTTCTGGCCATCAGTTTTTCTTAATACGACTTCACTGAGAACACACACACACACACACTGCTTTTCTTTAAAAACGCTTACACCAGTCGTTCCGAACCCCGTACAAATGTCAGAAGCTTCAGTTTCGAAGCTAACCTGGAAGTGCTAGTCCTCAAAATGCTAAGAATGTCACCAGTGCATCAGGTATCGATGTGATTATGAGAAGGTACTTGTGACGAAAAAAAGTAAGCCACAGAAGTTTGTTTGTTTGTAGTTAAGCAACAAGATACACAATGGACTATCTGTGCTCTGCCCAACACGGGTATCGAAACCCAGTTTCTAGCGTTGTAAGTCCGCAGACATACTCCTGTGCCACTGGGGTACAGTCACAAAAGAGGTCAAAGAAGGTCTCTCTATGAAAATGGTGAGGTTCCAGGTGAGGTCAGAGAAGGTCTCTCTACGAAAATGGTGAAGTTCCAGAAAAGAACCCTAATCACGACAAGAGGATGGCGTAGGGACAATAAATCACGACAATAGGATGGCGGAGGGACAATAAATCGCGACAAGAGGATGGCGTAGGAACAATAAATCCCGACAAGAGGATGGCGGAGGGACAATAAATCTGAGCAGTCTCGCAATCTGAGGGTTGCGGGTTCGAATCCCCTCACACCAAACATGCTCGCCCTTTCAGCTGTGGGGGCGTTATAATGTGACGGTCAATCCCACTATTCGTTGGTAAAAGAGTAGCCCAAGAGTTGTCGGTGGGTGGTGATTACTAGTTGCCTTCCCTCTAGCCTTAAACTGCTAAATTAGGGACGGCTAGTGCAGCTAGCCCTCGTGTAGCTTTGCGTGAAATTCAAAACATACAAGCTTCTTTTGAATAGAATTTGACGAATATTATATTATTAACCTTTAAAAACAGTTATATTTTCGACTATAATTTGCCGAACATCTTTTTACTATTCGTTAGAAAGAGTGATACGTTAGATATTTTCTGGTATCCATCAGTAAATATCTTTATTAACGTAAGCTCTACGGTATATAATTTGACCACCTCGAAACTCTATGGTATCTAACCTAATTCTCTACGACTTGAAACAGAGTGATGTCATAGTTAACTACTTCTTTATTAACTACAGATTGTCAGATGTCTGTGAAATTCAGCTTTACAGTCTATAATCTGACTAGGAACTATTTGTTATTTATAGACAACGAAGTGTCTGGTATCTAGATTATACTTATGTTGTATTATTATGATACTCTATGACACCTTACCTTATCCCACCTTAATGACTATAAACTGTTTTGTATTAACTTAATCCTATCCTATGCTCTAAAGGATGTATGGTATAGAACTACAACACTCCTGATCCTCTAAAAGAAACTGCCTTGTAACAAACATAATTACGTTTTATGAACTAAATACTATTTGATGTCTGGCTTTATCCCTTAATCTTCACTAAAACTGTCTTGTATCTAGCCAAGTTTCTTAATATTCACTAAAACTGTCTGATGTTATCAGTTAGATCCCTTAATATTCACTAAACCTGCCTGATGTTATCAGTTAGATCCCTTAATATTCACTAAAACTGTCTGATGTTATCAGTTAGATCCCTTAATATTCACTAAAACTGTCTGATGTTATCAGTTAGATCCCTTAATATTCACTAAAACTGCCTGATGTTATCAGTTAGATCCCTTAATATTCATCAAAACTGCCTGGTATCTAATCTAGCTAAATGCTTTAATTTTCATTAAAACTGTTTTGTGTTATAGTCAAATTCCTTAATATTCACT